TCTGTGTCTTTACCCGCAGGTCTGTGCTTCTGACCCTCCCGACAGCAGTCTGACACAGGAGGCTGATGCCTGCTTGGCTCTTCTGCTTGTAGTAAGGCACTAAGGGGCTTGACTTCTGTTCTTTCCCTCCATCAGGAGATACAACAGGAGGCTCCATGAGCTGCGAGATGCCCCAGCACAGCGCCTGGCCGGCTGCTCCCAAAACAGCAGCTCAGCAGTCAAATTGTTACAGGAAGCCCCGACAGGAAATGGGGTGCCTGACTGTGAGTGCTCTGTGCGCTTAAAGTGGCTGATAATAATACCCAACTGCAGGCACACAGAAAGGTTGATCAAAGGTTGATCAAGGGTTTACTTACAAACGTAGGGGAAATGAGGAAAGGAATAACTCAGGGAGAAAGAGAGAGAGATAACTTGGCCATGCGTCCTGCCAGTTCCACTGACCTGGAATCCCAAAGGCTGCTGAGAGCCTGAGGGGGGGGAGAGCTAAGAGCCAGAAGGGGCAGGAAGGGCGGTTGGGGGGTGGGGGGTGTGGAATACCCACATGTCCGTGTCTGGTTTAAAAAAACTTGGCTGCTTAGCTCCCCCTCAGTTCCCAGCACCCCCTCAGTGATGACGGGATTTGTAGTTTCCTGTGTCCTGATGGCTTTGGTCTGCAGTGGGGTGGGGCCCACAACACCTGTGGCGGCCCTGCAGGGACAGCAACGCAGTCACACAGGGAGCAGCTCCGGAGGACTCTTGTTTCTGGTGGTGGTGGGTTAGGACATTTCACCAACACAAGGCAAACACCCAGGTATTTTATCGGGTTTCGACTGCTATGAAACAGATTTCAGGTGTTTCAAGGGCTCGTATGTAAAAGTGTCTTTATTCTGTGAACAGAGGCCAGAAATGAGTCATTTCTATAGAAGTTTTGGGGCCCAGCCTCTGTCATCACCTCCCCTCTCCCACTCCGTCTCCCCCCATCACAGAGCAACACCAGGTGGGATTTCCTGATCAGACTTAACACAGGGCTGCCTGGGCAGGGAGTGGGCGCCTGGCACTGAGGACCAACCTCACCCTAGGTGTGTCCAGTGGATTGTGATGATGAGAAAATGAGAAAGAAACATAATTTCCCCCACTGTCATGTTACCCCTCCCTCAGGAGCTGAGGGGGGCCCTGCTCCATCTCTCCCTCCTTCCTTAGACAAAGGCTCAGCCCAGTGACCCGGTGACCTGGGCTCCTCCTGACCGTGGGCCAGGCCAGCAGGGCACAGGCTCCCCCCTCCATCCTGTGAGTCCCCCTGAGCTCTGCTCTAGAGAGTAGCTGACACCCATGGAGGGAGTGACCTCCCCTGACCCCTGACACGGAGGGGTGTCAGGCTGGAGCTCCCTAACTCTGAGGACAGTGGGGTTTGCAAAGACACCAAAGAAAATGAGCTTGAAGTGAACATTGGGGCTGGGGTGGAGGCTGAGGGGGGGGTCAGGGGAAGCTGTCAGGGGTGAGGTGCTACCACATCCCAGCAGGGGCCCCAGGGGGTCCTGCCCACTCCCTACAGCTCAGCCCAACTGTCTCTAAACTTCCTCCTGGCCTCTGAGCCGCTGCTCTCTCAAGCCCTGCTCAAAATAGCTCCTTGGTGGGACTTTTGACACGGAGTTGTTTGATCTATTTTTAGGATTTAAGTTCATTTATGCGGGGACTATGTTGTGTACCTGTGTCTCCTATTTCTCTCTCTCTCACACTCACACAAGCACACACACACTCCCCTTCCTCACACTGGGGTTTGTCTGACCCTCTGTCCCTGGCTCCTCTCAGAGCCCCCCTCTCTGCAGCGTCACTGCTCAGGGTGTCTGAGCAGCCCCAGGAGTCCCTGCCCCTCCTGCCTCTGACCTTGTGGGAAACCAGTTGCCAACCTGGATGGGGAGCAACAAGGGCCCCCAATCACTGCTGGCAAGAATAGAAAATAGCATGTCACTATGGAAAATATCATCAATTTCTCATATAGTGAAATACACTCTCATCCTCAGACCTGCTGGTTACTTCTTAGCTGTTTACCCAACTCATTATAAAATTTATTTTTACAAAATACCTACACACAGGTGTTTAGAGGGGGGCACCCCCTACCCGTGGGCCCCACACAGTCATTCCATCCCACTCCACTGCAGTGGTGAAGTGTGGACACAGGAAGGAAAGTACTTTCCAGGGAGGCAGTGGGGACCTGGCCTCAACCGGGTGTGGAAGGGGAGCCCCATCAGGGAGGGTTAGGTCA